CCAAGGAAGCTGAAAGAGCTCGTCTAGGCTTGTCAGTAATCAAGCCAAGAAGAAAAACAGGAGCAGAACGTAATCGTGCCTATAGGCTGCGAAAAAAAATGCTTTCACAAGTAGAAGGATCATCCGTGGCTGAGATTTTATCCACACCGTCAACTTCAAGTTCACGAATAAGGACTTTTGCGCCATCATTTCGGTTAGCTACCATCAGTGCTAATTAATTAATTAATAATTTGCATGAAATCAAAAACTATTTTTAATAATGCCAAAGAAGTATAACTTCTTACGCGCATACATAAGTACACGCACCCTTTTTTTTCAGTGTTGTCGAGAGTACATTAGCAAGAAATAAAAAAGGACTACCTGCAGTAGTTATTGCTACTCAATCTATTGAAACAAACACAAATTCCATTGGGGAAATACATCCAGGCCGAAGTAATACTACGCCTATGAATTTTGTTGACATTAAGGTAGAACCAGAGAATGTTGACGAGATTACAATGGGAATACAGCATGAAATAATAAGTTGGAGGGAAATAAAAAAATCTACTGCAATTTATCTTCAATCTAATAATATTTGTGATAAAATACTACATGAACAGGTAAGTTTTGAAAATATTATTTAATTAGTTGTTGCATAATTATGTGAGTTGTTTGTAATCCTTCAATTCCCTATTGAAGGATTATGGTATTTATATTTTATACTGCCTTCAGCTCAATACACATTTATTTTAATTTGCTCATATATTCATGTGGTGTGTGCCCTAACCAATCAAAATACGTACAAAATACGATTTCAGATTTCCGTCCCGAAAACCATAATGCATAGATTAAAGCCTACGCCAGCCAAACATGATTGTGAGTATTCTTGTAAAACATAAATTTTACCGTATAATAAATCAAATTATATCCTTCCTATTTCTATCCATTATTCAAAACTTTAATTTTACAGCACCGGTTGATAGTCAAATAAATACTTTACTATTGCCTCATGATACTCAAGATATGGTGAATGATAGAGATGATGATGATGATGTCATCATCATTGATAAAGTACCTGAAGTTATTGTTATACCATCTGATGACACACCCAACAATGATCTTCCTTGTGTCATTGCTAATATTAAATCCGAACCACTTGTAAATGAATTACAAACATCTAAAACAAAACATACTGTTACACCACAAAATGATTTTGAATGTAAAACGTTGGTAACCCAAATACCTAAAGACACAAAAGACGTATTTAAATGCCTATCAGATGGAAACAGCATTAATGATGATAAAGTATTAGCTATTGAAGAAATTAAAAGGGAACCAGAATTAAAAGGGAATAGTGAACTGAATGTCTCCATGGAATCTACATTTGGAATTATAAATACACAAAGTATGACGACAAATAATGTAAATACAGTTAATAATAAACAAGTTGGTAGACCGGCAGATACATTTAATAATTTAGATCAAATTACTCCAAAAGAATCAGAAGTATCAGAACCGTTGAAGGAAGAAGAAAATGTAGAGACGTTTGTCGAAATCGATATCCCATGGGATGCTGTTCCAATAAAGGAAGAAGCTGATCCGGAAATGGATTTAAAATTATCGGATATCAGAAGTTTGTATCATGTCGAAGTTAATGTCGGTGAAAACGAAATTGATGTTAAGCGAGAAATTAATGAATTCGATTTAACCGGTCAAAGTGAGAATTTGCAACAAGACAACTCTGCTTATAATGTAAGTAATAAAAAGTATAAACAATATATCACTAATAGACACGAAAATGACATCAGTACAAAAAATACCAGAATATATATTTTATCTGTATGACACGATCATAGATATATTTTCTTCAAACTAAATATTTGTTTCCAACACACAAATATACAGTATTTACGATATTCCAAAGCCCGTCCCATCCTCCAAGAGATCAAAGACATCCCATCCGACCGCCTTCGTCTCTAGCCATGTCTGTTGACTTCAATATGGCTGGAACATTGCAAACCTACAATTAAGTTAAACCGTATAAATTTCAGTCGCATTTCATCACCATCACACCGAATGTAGCTTTAAATACCGATGATGAAAGGAACCAAACACAGAGGAAGAAGGAAATGTAAGTTGTATATTATGTTTATTTTACGACTAATTATAAATATAAAATTAGATAACATCACCGCAAGAAGTGCATAGCAATTAAATTTGAAAACGGTGAAAGTAACAATAATAAAAATTCAGTAAGATTAAAAGTGTTGTAGTATCAAGATTACTATCGAACTATAGTGACGTCAGTGTTGTCAACACAAAAAAGGGACTACTGCAGCGACCTCAAACTCTAGACGGTTCTCTTTCTGCAAACTCTATCTTGGAATCATCTTCTTTCGTACATTTAAATAGTCATCATAATCAAATCAAATTAATCATTTCTTAACCTTATCCTATCCTGATCAATCGTGACTTGTATAATTCTTTTGTTTCCTTTTGCATCACTATTGCTGTTCATGAATTTGTAAGATTAGCTTTTAAATTTTTAGTCTGTTATTAATATTTTCTTTTGTATTACTTTAGATTAAGGTTCTATACATATATATATATATATAACATTTGGTTCTGCACTTCTCGCATGCATCATGTTTCTTTTTTTTTAGTTTTTCTCTTTAACTGGGGTTGCCTGGATTAGATCGCTTATTAGCGATAAGGCCGCGCGTTGCATCCCTTACAATTTTAATGTATTGTGTTTCATTTATTTGCAACGAAATGTAAATAAATAAATATAAATATAATCGGACGAAATTTTCCAGGTTCAGGGGCCAAATGCGGTTGCAGGAATGTCTTCCAGTATACAAATGCAAAATATGCAATAGAACATTTAGTGATTCCAGTAACTTTTCCACGGTTAAAGTGCACAATTTGCAAATATTGATCTGCGATATTTGCAAGAAGAAATTCAATAATAAAGCCTACCTCGCCAAACATATACAGGTATGTGATAAGACAATTGAAATCTACTTTTAATTTGGAACATATATTTATGAAGGTCAATAGAAAAATATTATTTTATCATCACTATAATGCGTACGTGCACGTACTTGAACGTACACACTGCTGGTAGAGACTAAACTTAAGCTTTTTGAAGTGAAACTTCTTTAGGCGCATCAGGGTAAAATTTTTATGGATGAAACACAATAATAATATTAGCGTCACGAAGAAGCGTTTATGTCGAAGAAAAGGGAGAGAGCGATTGAGAGAGAGTGAGAAAGTGCGAACGTAGCATGAAGCAAATAACCATGGAGCAAGAGTAGGGAGAGAGCTATAGCGAGAAAGATTGAGAGAGAGAGTAGAGGGAGATCGAGAAAATATACACGCGTTTAGTAGTTACATATTAGAACTTTAGATGGTAGGTAATTCTGTCGCATAACTCTTGTGCAGTAAACGCAGATTTTTTATTTATTTATATTATCATTAGCACGTATACAATGTGTAAACAGTGAGTTAAATTTATAAATAAAATTTTGTGATAAATTTGTTAGTCGTATACTAAGCAAATGTACTGAGTAAGTAATAATCTGTTATCTTTTTGTTAATTTACAATTTTTTATGCTAATTCGTTTGAAGGTTAGGAAGATTTAATATTTACAAATTAATGATTTAATAAATTTTTTTTTGCATTGACTTAGGATCTCTTAAAATGTTTTTGTTGTCAAGAGTATTTTTTATTATTGAAGTGAAACTTCTTTATCGAGGTTGGAAAAAAATTTAGTGTAACATTTTTTCGTTACGCGTCACATTTTTCGGTTACGCGCCATGTTGCTTTTTGAAGTCAAACTTCTTTATCGGCGTTGGAATGAAACTTCTTTATCGACGTATGGGAGAAATTTTGTAGCAAATCGTCACGTTTTTCAATGATAGTAATAATTCTATTACAATTAATGAAATTCTATAATAATCTTCGTAGTAATAAGGTAAAATGAAATATTTGTATTAATGTCTATGATAATAAAAGCCTTTTGTTAAACTTTATCTAATTTAACGAATTTCTGTAAAGTTGCATATAGTAGATCATTTTTCGAAAAATAAGATCATAAAGAAGTTTCACTTCTTACGTGTGTACACCTAGTACACGCACAATTTTTTTATTTATTAAGATATTGCTTCACTATCTAGATAATTTTTAATTTATATAAATGTAGTATACGTATATATGTGTAGAAATATGTATTTTAATTAATTGTTGAATATGGCTCGACGAATTATTTAAAGGCCTGTATACACTTTGATTACTGATTAGTAGAGGTGATTAGTTGTCTGCATAGTAACGTGATTAGAAGCGTACATACAAAAAACAAACTGACCTACAACCCCATTTCGGCGTGTTTCAGTCACAAAAGGATCACCTTGGTTATGAGGAAATCCTCATCCTTTTTATAACCCGGTTCCGCCCCTCCGTTGTTATAAACCAACCAGCGGCGCACTTTTCCTAAGTGGGCCTCCGATTTTATCTGTTCCGTGATCATTTGTTTGCATGCAGGTGATCAGACTTCTGCGCCTGACACCGTTCTTTTTTATTCTAATACAACGGCGTGTTATCTGTATTAGAATTATTATAGTGCGAGTGCAAGTGATTACTAATTGAGAATGATTAGTGCAGGTGTGTAGTGCAAGTAGTGTCCAATTATTGTTTAGTGGCTCTGTTAAGTAAATTCAGTTGTCGATTGTTTGGCAGGCACGCTGCGAGTGAGGGGGGAGGGAGGGCGCACGCGACGTCATTACTCGCAGTTCACTCGCAAAAATATAGAACACGCTTCTAATCACTTTACTACGCAGCAAACTAATCACCTGCACTAATCACTAATCAAAGTGACTACAGGCCTGTAACGTGATTAGAAGCGTGTTCTATTTTTTTGCGAGTGAACTGCGTATAGCCACGTCCCTACCCCCTCACTCGCAGCGTGCCTGTCAAAACATGTCATTTTATTGTTTAGCGCCGGACGCTGTGTCGTAAAAAAATGGCGAAGTGGGCCGAAGACACAACCTATAAATTTGTGCAGGAGTATGTAAAATATGAATGCCTTTACAATTGTAAAGACCCTAACTACAAAGTTAAGGGAGCCCGGAATGCGGCACTTTTACAGTTAAGTAAAGCAATGAATATACCGGGGTTTGGTAGTAATGAAGCTTATACTAAAATAAGGAACTTGAAGTCTACGTATTTGCAAGAGGTGAAGAAAATCAAACAAAGAACAAAATCTGCAGCTGGAACAGATTGTGTATATAATCCACAAATAAAGTGGTTCACATTATTGGATGACGCTATCAAAGCTGTAAATGGACAGTGCAGCGACTCGGGGAGTAATATGGTGAGCAATAATAATATTTTTAATTTTATATTCTTAATCTTAATATATATAAATTACGTGTCACGTTGTTTGTCAGCTATGGACTCCTAAACTACCGAACCGATATCAATCAAATTTGCACACCGTGTGCAGTTTGATCTAACTTAAAACATAGGATAGCTTACATCTCAATTTATACCCGCAATATTATTTTATTGCAAAATATTTATTGTTTAATAATCACAATTCTAATAGATGGCGCTGTACCAACGTTTCACATAAGCTACAATTTAATGGCATAAAGCATGGTAGTCCCCATGACTGGTGTTCTCCTACCGTTTCCCTTGAATAGTTAAGTACTATGTAATATAACAAAAATCTTAGCCACAGCAACGCTTGGCCGGTCTACTAGTTATATTATAAAAAATAACTGCAAAACCACGTTTTAATTCAATGTATCATTCGAGTCTGCCAAGATACTGCACCTTCTCCTACTAAATAATCTTCATAATCGTTGCGTATGTTTTGTGCAATTTGAGATGATCTATTCTGCATTCTCATAGTAAGTGGAACAAGTCCGTCCGGATGGCACTTCTCTTCAGGATCTTTCAATCAAATTTCCATTCTCTGTGTCTTCGATATCAACCGTGGCGACATGTCAGGGCACATTGGTTTTTCTCGCCCAGTTATGCATGGCGCAACAGGTTTTTACGATTTTTTGCACCGTGTTGGGAAAAAAGTAGTCTTTCGAAAATTCTGAATCGACTTACAAAGATGCCAAACGCATTTTCGACGATTCGTCTTGCCCGTGATAATCTATATTTTTTTTTTGTTTAAATGTCAATTGGTTTCATCATGTATGGTCTTAGAGGATACGCATTGTCGCCCACTTGAACATGACCTTCGGGCAATCAATTATTTTCCAAAGCATGACTAAGATCACAATAGGAGAAAACTCCACCATTCGATACACGCCCGTTACATCCAACATCAATATATGAAAAACAGTAGTAGTGGTCTGCTACTGATATGAGAACAATGCTATTATTTTTTTGTAGTTGAAATAATAACTCAATCCTTTTCCATTCATCGCCGTTAGGGACCTAAAACAAAAAAACATAAGTTCCTGACAGACTAGTTTCTTTGACAGCAGTGAAATAGGAATATTATTTCTGACTTTCAGAGTTGGTTTACTATATGTTTTTCTTTTTGCTTTGGTTTTTTTTTATCTCAATTTATCATTTTTTTAGCAGCCGGAACCTCAATACGAATTACTTGATGGAGAGGTACCTTCCACATCCCGATACAATCATTCTGCTGAAAAAAATAACCCGGACGCAACACCTGAATCTGAACAAAGAAAATCGCTGAGTCCTCGTAAAAGAACAGTACGGGACCTCAGTCGTTTGGTCAATAAAGTTAAGAACGTAGCTGACTCAATTAACACACGCAGAACAGAAACAGAGTTTGATATATTTGGGAAAAGTGTAGCAGCCCAGCTTAAAAGATTGCCAATGCACAAAGCAATAGAAGCACAGATGTTTATCCAAAGTTATATTTCTAATTTACGTCTGCAACACGGAACATTTAACTAAGCATATAGCCCATCACCAAAGTCTATGTACCAGTCTTCACCATCACCGACTAACACACTACCACCACGAGAAGTCAAAGTCAAAAATCATTTATTCATGTAGGTAACACGATGTACACTTATGAACGTCAAACAATAAATATACAGTAAATGCTTCTAATTTTACATTTACTGCCAGTTCTCAAATAAAGGCCGTAGAACGGAAGAGAAGAGCTGGTATAATCTTTCCGCCACTCTTTTTAATCACCATTACCATGTAATATTTTTAATTTTATATTCTTAATCTTAATATATATAAATTACGTGTCACGTTGTTTGTCAGCTATGGACTCCTAAACTACCGAACCGATATCAATCAAATTTGCACACCGTGTGCAGTTTGATCTAACTTAAAACATAGGATAGCTTACATCTCAATTTATACCCGCAATATTATTTTATTGCAAAATATTTATTGTTTAATAATCACAATTCTAATAGATGGCGCTGTACCAACGTTTCACATAAGCTACAATTTAATGGCATAAAGCATGGTAGTCCCCATGACTGGTGTTCTCCTACCGTTTCCCTTGAATAGTTAAGTACTATGTAATATAACAAAAATCTTAGCCACAGCAACGCTTGGCCGGTCTACTAGTTATATTATAAAAAATAACTGCAAAACCACGTTTTAATTCAATGTATCATTCGAGTCTGCCAAGATACTGCACCTTCTCCTACTAAATAATCTTCATAATCGTTGCGTATGTTTTGTGCAATTTGAGATGATCTATTCTGCATTCTCATAGTAAGTGGAACAAGTCCGTCCGGATGGCACTTCTCTTCAGGATCTTTCAATCAAATTTCCATTCTCTGTGTCTTCGATATCAACCGTGGCGACATGTCAGGGCACATTGGTTTTTCTCGCCCAGTTATGCATGGCGCAACAGGTTTTTACGATTTTTTGCACCGTGTTGGGAAAAAAGTAGTCTTTCGAAAATTCTGAATCGACTTACAAAGATGCCAAACGCATTTTCGACGATTCGTCTTGCCCGTGATAATCTATATTTTTTTTTTGTTTAAATGTCAATTGGTTTCATCATGTATGGTCTTAGAGGATACGCATTGTCGCCCACTTGAACATGACCTTCGGGCAATCAATTATTTTCCAAAGCATGACTAAGATCACAATAGGAGAAAACTCCACCATTCGATACACGCCCGTTACATCCAACATCAATATATGAAAAACAGTAGTAGTGGTCTGCTACTGATATGAGAACAATGCTATTATTTTTTTGTAGTTGAAATAATAACTCAATCCTTTTCCATTCATCGCCGTTAGGGACCTAAAACAAAAAAACATAAGTTCCTGACAGACTAGTTTCTTTGACAGCAGTGAAATAGGAATATTATTTCTGACTTTCAGAGTTGGTTTACTATATGTTTTTCTTTTTGCTTTGGTTTTTTTTTATCTCAATTTATCATTTTTTTAGCAGCCGGAACCTCAATACGAATTACTTGATGGAGAGGTACCTTCCACATCCCGATACAATCATTCTGCTGAAAAAAATAACCCGGACGCAACACCTGAATCTGAACAAAGAAAATCGCTGAGTCCTCGTAAAAGAACAGTACGGGACCTCAGTCGTTTGGTCAATAAAGTTAAGAACGTAGCTGACTCAATTAACACACGCAGAACAGAAACAGAGTTTGATATATTTGGGAAAAGTGTAGCAGCCCAGCTTAAAAGATTGCCAATGCACAAAGCAATAGAAGCACAGATGTTTATCCAAAGTTATATTTCTAATTTACGTCTGCAACACGGAACATTTAACTAAGCATATAGCCCATCACCAAAGTCTATGTACCAGTCTTCACCATCACCGACTAACACACTACCACCACGAGAAGTCAAAGTCAAAAATCATTTATTCATGTAGGTAACACGATGTACACTTATGAACGTCAAAAAATAAATATACAGTAAACGCTTCTAATTTGACATTTACTGCCAGTTCTCAAATAAAGGCCGTAGAACGGAAGAGAAGAACTGGCTATAAACTCTCCGCCACTCTTTTTAATCACCATTACCATGTTCCACATGACATCTTAAGTAATAAATAATAATAAAATAAATTAAAAACAAAGATTTGTCCTCTATCGGCAGGAGGCATGGTGAAATAGGAACACGTACTTACAATCTCGTGGGAACAACACGCAAACACATAGTCGAAACAACTAACATCACCGCATACACGAATTCAAGTACGACCAGTCACCACTAGTAGCACCCGTTCACGAGTATGACGCATGGCCAGCCATCGGCCCGACTCCTTTCATACAACCACCACAATCTTCTAGAACAGATCCTACTTATGATATTGATAACATTTCTCCTACTGACCAGGATGACATATTGGCTCGGGAAGTATCGAGTATGTACTAATAAGTAGATTGCAAATACATATATTGAATATCAAAATAAACCTATTTTGATAGAAAAAAATGTTTTTAATTTTACCTACCTTTGTGTAATCTCTCAGTGCGTTGTAAATAGCATCGCATACTTGGGATATGATGTTACAAGTTGTCGATCTTGGTACTCTGAATAGGTGTTGCAAGACGCGTAAACTAATTCCATTAGCCAATAAGTAAAAAATGGCGTGCAATTTTACTTTTGCCGGTAAAGCAGGTCGCATAAATGTATCGCATTTCTGTATGACGGTTTAGTAGTATATTAAAGTACTCTTCGGTCAACCTGAGAGCAAAGTTATTCCGTCGTATCTTCAGCAGCCATTCCTTAAAGAGTTGGTAGCTTGCGCCATGAATGGGTCTACTATTAATCCATTTTCGAACCCATACTTTTCTTGGTCTCTTCAGCTTCCAAATCTTCAGCACCGCGTTTAATACTTCTTTCAATTGCAAGCTACTAGAGACTACTGAGTTTACTTAAGTCGGCCCCAAGAGGATCAATTATATTGCGCAATACTGAAGATTGCGCAATGATTAAACGAAAGTTTGAGCGAGTTTCATTTTTATTGCACCATATTTTTCCATTGCGTCGTGTAGGGTCAGTATTGCGCAATATTTTTTATTCTGTGTTTCGTCGGCAAGGACACACGCGTGCACGCTTCCCAAAAATGGCAGAAAAAGATAATACGAAAGTTAAGGACAGAGAGTTTATCGTCGAATGTATCCAATTGTCGTCTTTGTGGAATGTCAAGAGCAAAGAATATCATGACCGTGATAAAAAAAGCTGATTACAAAACATTGTTGTCTAAACATAAAGAGATGTTTCCTGAGCCAAGCAAAGATGACGCGATGAAGAAATTCAATTCTTTGAGAACCAACTACCGGAAGGAACTCGAGAAACACCTTCAGTCGATGAAATCCGGATCTGGTACAGACGCCATCAACACAATACTGAATGTTTTTTTGTAGTTATAGTAGTATGATCCAGAACCAGGAGGTTTCTTTATTTCCACGTGTTTCGCATCTATAGCACCGATTACATGAGGAGCATTCCACTGACTCTCAAAATCCTTGGCAACTTTTTTCCATTCCTCGGCAGTTTGTGGTAGCTGAAAACAAAATAACAAATTGTTTATCTTTTTCAGGAAAATAGTTCAACCATTGAAGCTGATCAAGTTCAAACTACATCCTATGCAGTTCCGAAGACAAAAGATAAAAAATTAAAGAGGAAATCTGAATATGAACTTATGCAACTTGCAGTTAACTGTCTTAGACAGAAGCCAGACGAATATGAAAACTGGGCTGCGTCTTGTGCTGCAGATTTAAAGAAAATGGAACCAACACAACAAATCTTTGCTAAGAGCGCTATTGCTGCCATTATCATGGAAGGACAATTAGGTCTTTTACATCGCAATTCGGTTGAAATAAATACTCCAACAGTAACAATAACTCCATCTCCGACATATACCAGATCCACGCCAACTCCAACAAATTACAACAGCACGCCATCGCCTCGCTATTCTGAACTTCCACCTGAGGAGCTGCCACATTACCAACAGAACATGGACAATTCGCAACAGGAAAATGATGCTAATGACGTCTCAATATATAAAGCTTAATAAATAAATGTTTATTAAATAATAAATAAATAAATAAATGAAAAGATGTCTTTATTTACCTTGATTAATTTCTTCAAAACATGTATTATGGCTTCGCGAGTTTCCATAATTATTAAGGAATGACTTTGTGGGGAAATATCCAATTCTATCTTGCTCAATCATGACCTATATATTCATGTTATTCTTATTATTTTTATTGCATTGTAAGTTATGAACCGTGAATATTTCTTTTTTCATAAAATATAAAATAAAAATATTTCTTAAATTCTCTTTTCTAAATTTTAAATTTAATTCTAATATTGACAAAAAATGTGGCATATAAAACACTATAATATTTCATAATTTTAATTTTAAAAATAGAATATCTATAAGGTAAAAGCCCCAATAGATGATCATATACCAATATATGATCACTACACTACACAATCACATATTAACAAATATAGGTATATAAATACATGGAGTGATCATGTACCAGGATCATCTATTGGGGCGTTTACTTTAGTAATAAAAATTTACAATGATTTTGTATAAATTTAAATTTAGTTTAGGTATTTTTACTATTTACAAAAAATCACGAGGAATTTTAATTTCATTATTAATATTCATCATTTGAGATTTTACTATATTATTTATTAAATAAATATATTTTAATAATTATCTTTAATTGTTTTTATCAATTATTAAATTTTAATAATTTTTCATTTTCAGATAGCAACGCCAAAAATCGTAGTGCGAGAGTGTGACCCACTTAAAAATAAAATATCTGTGAAACGGCCACCTAAGACATCAACAGAACGTTCACGTGAATCTAGAGAGCGGAAAAGGGCTTTAAAAAAGTCGTACATCATTTCAAAACCTAAACCAAAAACTCCAGCAGAGCGCAGTCGTGACTACAGAGCTCGAAAAAGGGCTCGAAAAAATGAAGACAATCACCAGTCAAATGACTTGACGCGAATAACTGTGGAAGTTGAAGTAGATCAAGAACAAGAAAATTCTCAAGTCGAAGACTTCCACTTTACCAATGAGAAAAATAAAAACTTCAACAGAACGTTGTCGTGAGTTTGAGCTAGAAAAAAATCATTTATAAACCTTACAGTAAACATTATTGAGGATTTTCAAACATCACCAAATATTATTAATGCTAATAATAATAACAATAATGGTGATAATAAAACAAATAGAGGGGTAAGTCATCTGTCGTTCGATTATCGAAATTATGAATGAAAACCCTGAGTTTGATATTGTTGAGGTTACTAGAAAAATTGGAGTGAATATGCTAAATAATGTAGAAATGACAAGTCAGAAAGCTGATTGGTACCTTCTTCGAGAGCCAATATCAAAATGTTCAACTGTTGTAACTACTATTCCCACAATGTGGCATGTTGATCGACAAAGAATACGAAAAACTCTAAAGGAATTAGACAAAATAGGTATTGTAAAGATTAAACAAATATTTGTCGTGATAATTCGTTTGACAAGTATGAAAAGCGACATCAAGATTTAAATGATGTCACACGTGCTCAATTTCTTACAGTAAAGTAAAGAACGACGTAACTTATTCACATAGAAAGACAAGAACATCAAATTTTGTTTAATTGTTGTAACAAACGCTACGGCTGAATCAGGCCGCTAGTTAAACGGCGCCGTTTAGTTAAAAGGCTAGGCAGTTAATTGAACGGCTAATTGAGCTAGTTGGCTACGACATATACATAGGCAGACACACACTGTACATACAGCATTCAAGATAACACTCTCAAGGTTGCTTCCTTTAAGTAGCTGAACAATATCGAGCACTTTTTAAATGTGTAAAAGTTATAATCATCGACGAAGTTATCATGATTAGTGCAAATTACTTGGACATTTTGATTAACTATTAAAACAAATTACTGGAAACTTGAATACTAATTTTGGCGGTTTGGATATGGTGATTTGCATCAGTTACCACGAGTGAGGGCGACACCGACATATAAACAACGAAAACAAAAAATTGTCGGTCCAATTCTATGGAGAAGTCAGAAATTCTACGAGTAAGAAGTTATGAGGCAATCCAATCAACTATTTTCTTCAATTTTAACAAAAATTGGTGATGTTGAACAATTAGCAAGCCATGAAATAGAACTAATAGAATCACGATTATGTACTGTTCATGAAGCAGATACTCTATGTCCACGTGAAATACGGTTATTTACGTACAAATCCCGCTGTCAATATTTATAATAAGAACATTTTAGATGGAGCTACAGAAAAATATAAATCTACAGCTACAGATGTTTACATTGTATGCACATCAACAGAAGAACAAGCGTTTTTACCCCAAAAATTACACAAAATGTCGATAATTGATACAGGAGGTCTACCATATGAAACAGTTCTTGTAAAAGATACATATTATATGTTAACAACCAATATTGACGTCTCCGATGGTTTGGCGAATGGTGCCGTTGGAAAATTAGTTCATATTGAACGAGATGATTCAGGTCAAACTAACTTTGCACGGCTTGAGTTTTCAGATTCACCAAAAACTGGTAAAAAAATCGAAAAAAAGTTGCTGGACATGTTGCGGCAAGTAATATTGTTCGAATTGCAGTGCCAATCGGAAGACGATCATCAACAATTCCACTTATTAAATATAGCTTCTATTTGTATATTACTTACAGCAGTTTTTCTAAATAAAGCAGCATTTTATTGGTTATAATCATCTTATTATTAATTAAGTACGACATAATGAGATCAGCAAAAAAAAAATTAGATACAAATAGTAACTTTTTATTGGATCATTAAGGCGGGTCTTGCTTTCGTGGGGCGGACGAGCTTCCTTTTTTCTCCAATAGGCACATTTTTGACTTCTGCAGGTGGTGCCACGTACTTGACTCGGATCGCAAGTCCGATGATATGCATGCACGTATAGTTCTTAAAAAAATAGGGCAGGCGCATATTCCGTTCATCCAGGCGGTTTGTTGGGTGGGCAAGGAAACTTCAATACGCGAAAGCTTTCTTTTTGTATCCATCAAAAGTTTCCCAAACTTGATTAAATGGAATGTTACATGCGGTTGAGCTTGCTACTATGTAAGTATTTAGTCCGGAATCAGATTCTAAGAATTTGACATGTTTGTCAAGTTTCGCCCATTGATACGCAAGAGTCCAGTCTTTCAGTTCTATCGGAGGTACAGTTATAAATGTCTCTGGTTTATGATTTTCCGATCATTCCTTGACTATGTTTGTTGCGAATGAAAGAAATCTTGACCAAGAAAGTCGTTCTCGCAAAGTGTGGCTGTCTTTTATACCTCTATTGAATGACTCTAGTGCATTGTTTGTCACTGGAGAACCTTCGGCTGATTCAAGATACCAATTTAATTTAATTTGAGTGAAACCCACTCCGAAAGTTTGAAAGCCGGCGCAACGCAACATTAAATGAATATAAACAAACAAATGTACGTGGATTGCGTAAAACAACCCCTACACTGACAAAATATTTCTATTTCGCTCTTACGCGCGAGCTATGCGGTTAACTCCTGACAAATGCAATGAAAAAATAAATTTTTGCTAGAATATTATTCAATTTGCCGAGCTGTCAAGTTTGTGATGCTTAATAATATACATGTTACTTGGACAGTTATTTTGCTATGACAACGAGTATCATCTACATGCGCTGTGGTTAATTTGCTGGGCCGTGAGTATTTATGATAAGCATGCAGTATTTTTGTACCTAAATAAAATTATTTGTATCGCATTATGAGGAAAAAAGTTATGTCATGCTCGTATTTTCGAATTATCTGCGGTACTTGTTTTATTAAACATTTAGTTTATTTATAGTGAAGTAATTTAATTGATGTAAAAAAGCATATAGGGGAAGGTCGGGACCCTTCGTACGGTTTTCCCATTTAATTTTTTTCTTTTTCCATGAATCAATCATCTGATAGCTTAAATTTATAGTCTAACTATCTGAGATTCATATTAAAAAATGACAAATGATATTTTCATCTAATGTTTCAACCATAATTATGATTTAAACTAAATCTGGAATACGTACGAATCTGCCCCATCAACGGGGCACCTTCGTACAGTGTTGGGGGTACCTTCGTACGCTGTGGGGTAGTTCCGTACGTGCGATTAAAACGACAAATATAAATAATCAAAAATAAATATTTAACTTCTATTAAACAAAAATAAAATACTTTTCTTATACTGAACAAAAATTACATAGCTTTTCTTAAGTAAAACAAAATTTAATTACTTAGGTATCTTAAATTTAGAATCACATTTTTTAATCTTTGGTGCGGATTAGCACTTCTTATTTTCGGGTGTTGCTGTATAAATTCGTGGTTTTCCTGGCCGTCGTCGTCATTTTGTTTGTTTTATAACATCTTACAACATGCGGATAGGGTCGAAACGCTTCTGGTGTCAAAACTGACTTCGAAGGAACTACTATGTGATGGATTGGTAAATTATTCAAAGCATCTGGTTTCCAAGCATCAAAATCAACCTTAATAAAGATAATAAGAAAAAGGTATTAATATATATTTACATCGACGATAGCAATGATAGCAACACAGGACAAAGTTAATGCAATTATTAGCAATTATCACACTAACACAATCTTTCCTACCTACCAGAGGGTTTAGTCAAGATGCTTAAACCTAATTTGTATGAAAATGACAGTTCGTGTCAACAAAATATTTTCATACAAATTTAGTTGTACAATTCGTTCAAATGTGCCCCATCTAGTGCTGTCCGAAAGTACCCCACTAACTTAATAACAACAAAATATAACTTTATTTTAATATTAATAGGAAAACGTCATAAATTAAGTATTGGAGACGTATCTTAAGTATAGTTGCTAGTTACTGATAGAATACTCTACACGAAAACTTATTTTATCTACGGTAACAAGAGACAAAAACATTGATCAAAAAATTACTTACCGAGCGCGAAAACACGTCCATGCCTGTAACATCACTCTCATCGGTGCGAATTTCGCGAAACTTTGTTGATGTATAGTTGGTACCTCGACTCATGCACACATACAAAAACAAGACTGTACTTTGTTTCGTTCAAGTTTTATTTTGACTGTATGAATGTGCCCCGCGTACGAAGGGTAACGATCTTCCCCTAAATGATGAAAATATATTGATATGCGATTATTTATTTGATGTGCAATTAATAATTTCCCATTTATAATTTGTATCAATTTTCTACACTTTTAATATTTTAATGACAAATAACTTCATTAAATTCCTAACATATCTTCCTTTTCCCCTATTTTTTTCTACGACACGGGACAAATGGGACCATATGTGGAATGTAAGCATGAGAACTATTTTTTTTTACAGGAGGCAAACGGGCAGCAGTTTCGTGTGGTGTTAAGGGATTCCGCCTTTCATGGACACTCAATGCCTGAGGGCTCGCAAGGGCTTTTAAAGAACCCTTAGTCGAATTGGTTCGCAAATACTTCAGTGGAAACTGTTAGACGTTACTAAACTACAAACGATTTTATTAAACTACTGTTTTCAGTTCCCGTTATTTATATCTGGTTACTTTTTAGTAAACATTCTGCATTTTTACCTTACAACCTTCACATTAACTATCTTGAAATCAATCATATTTTAACGGAAACACTAGGATTTTTTAAGTATTTGTTTCTAAACACAGTTCCCAGGTACACAGAGAAAGAGAGGTTCAGGCAGAATGCAATTTATGCGATGCAAAATACCGGAAAAAGTCAAATTTGAAACATTTGGCGTCTGTGCATAAAAGGAAGGCGCCAGGGGCCTTAGTCAAGATGCCTTAACAGTAGTGTATGTAGAACGTCAAAAACTAAATTTGTATGAAAACTTTTCGACACGAACTGTCATTTCCATACAAATTAAGTTTTCGACTTTCGACAAATGACGATAGTGAAGCTGTCAATGTCAAGTCTGAACCAGAGAGTTTTTAAAGTGAAACAGTAAATGTTGCGTGACGGTCGGCCGCTGAGTAGTGATAAAGAGAAAGGCGCTCGTCAATCGTCATAGCAGCCAAGGCCAATATGGCGGCGCCTTTAGTTCGCAACAGCTGACCCTGTTGTGTATAGACTATTATTCATTTGTGCCAGTGCTCTACCATATTTTGTTTGTTTTTGTCAGTGTTTAATGTAAATGTTTTTTATCAGTGTTTAATGTAAATTTTGTTATTTATTAAAGTGAAACTTTAATTTGCTATTAAAGGACACAGCTAGTGAGTCCAAAAAACTGCTCAACGAGGAAAAAGCAAAGAATAGTGCAAAATTGAATGACGATGAATTAATTTTACGCCGTAAAAAACAGAACGCCGACAGAGCACTTCCTTCTAGAAAAGGGAAAAAAGTTCTTGGTGAGTAAACACAGTGTTTATATCGAATTTATTAGAATTGTTAGAACTTTTTGCTGGTGCATATTGTTGTTTATGGATTTATTTCAATTTTTTTATTTATATTAGGTCCATTAAATATATTTAATGTTATTTAACAGATGCCATGCCCAGTACTAGTACCATTCAAAGTGGTGAGCCTTTACCTGAAAATATTGTTACAGCAAAACTTTTAAATCAAAAGCAACTAAATGCGGAACGATGCCGCAGGTATCGTCAAAAATGCAAGCAGCTAAAATCGGGTGCCAATGTAAGTCACTGTTCACTTATTTTAGTTACCATAAAATATTGGTTACATTTATAAACTGTGAAACTCATAATGAAGATGGGATTGATAATAGAATGATTGAAAATAATTAAAAAACGGATCAAAATGACTCAACGATAATAAAATATTTTTTCAGTTTTTTAATCTTATATATAAAACTCTCGATAACGTAAACCTCGGTAACATAAAAACCTCGGTTACTTCAAAAAATACTATGTTCCCTTCCCATCAGAGCCCAAAACCTCTATAACTTAAAATACGCAACCTCTATAACGTAAATAAATAATCTCTGTATAGGCCCTCAGTAACTAAAAGAAATGTTTCCACAACCTCTATAACATAAAATTGTTTGTGAATGAGTCATTTTATAAGAGTGTCAAAACAAATGGTTTCGGTATTTATTGCTTGCACGTGTTTACTAATGTATTGTTAACGTAAACAATACATTACCTATTGTTTGCTTTATCTAAATTCTTCAAAGCTTTGCGGCGGTTAGCTTTGTGACAACGACTTACTTGCATCATAAGTTAATGTGTTAATGTATTCTCCTCTCTATTTGTCATTGAAAATCAAATCGATTTAGAAACAGTGAATTTTTTAAAACAAAAGAAAATCACAGATTTTTTTAAGTAGACTAAACCTTTAGTTGTTGTTTTATTTTTATGTAATGTAAGTACATAATGTGAATAAATATGATTACATATTTAATTTTCCATCCTTCTGATGCATTCAAGTAAAAATGGGAGGAAGGGTACATAGAAACATGTACATACCTCTATATTAACCTTTACCTGACATAGAACCTTGATAACTTAAAACCTCTATAACATAAAATATTTTGTGCTTCCCTTGAACTTTATCTTATCGAGGTTCTACTGTATATAAAATTCTCGTCTCACAATGTTAGGTACCATACTCTTCCGTAACGGCTTGACCGATTTTTATCAAATTTTATATGCATTAGGTCTGAGAATCGGCTACTATCTATTTTTCATACCCCTAAGTGATAAGGGTTGTCCACCCCTAACATTTTATTTTTTGGATGAAATTTTAATTATTAATTTTTTTTGTGAAATTAAAAAATACATACAACCCTAAATTTTCACCCCTCTACGATCAACCCCTGTTGTTTATTATTGTAGATAGTTATTTTTATTGAACTAAATAAATATTTCCTAGAAATAATATACATGGCAAAAGAAATGTTTGCCGGGTTAGCTAGTATGTGTATATAATCTAAACAATACCGCGATTCAAGACTCCACAGGCGACATCTATTTGTTGAACATATAACTATAATTATTGAAACAATATGTGTATATATAATCTAAATAATTGTGAAGTATTATGTATGCCATACTCTCTAAGACACAGAGTTCAATAAAAATATTAGTTCGAGACAGTCTACTTTTATTATTTTCCAAGTATAAAATTAAGATTGATAAAGCGATTTTTATACCCTTAATGGAATATTATTCCAAAAATGTTTAGTTAAATGTCTATATAGTGAAAAAAATGTTTCACTTTTACCGTGGTTTCATTAAACCACACAATCCTTTTTATTTGTTTTTTTAGTGTTTAATGTAAATGTTGTTATTTATTAAAGTGAAACTTTTATTTGCTTTTAAAGGACACAGCTAGTGAGTCCAAAAAACTGATCAACGAGGAAAAAGCAAAGAATAGTGCAAAATTGAATGACGATGAATTAAGTTTACGCCGTAAAAAACAGAACGCCGACAGAGCACGTGCTTATAGAAAAAGGAAAAAAGGTCTTGGTGAGTAAACGCAGTTTTTATATCGAAATTATTAGAATTGTTAGAACTTTTTGCTGGTGCATGTTGTTGTTTATGGATTTATTTCAATTTTTTTATTTATATTCGGTCCATTCAATATATTTAATTTTATTTAAAAGATACCATGCCCAGTACTAGTACCATTCAAAGTGGTGAGCCTGTATCTGAAAATATTGTTACAGCAAAACTTTTAAATGAAAAGCAACTAAATGCGGAACGATGCCGCAGGTATCGTCAAAAATGCAAGCAGCTAAAATCGGGTGCCAATGTAAGTCACTGTTCGGTGTGACATTCACTTTAAAAATAGTTTTTTTAATTAATCGATTATTAATAATCGTTTTTTAAGAAACGGATTTCTAACGGAAATTTTGCACTATAAGACTGTTAACACACTGTTCTAGCAAAATCCACTTAATAGGGATGTGAAAAATAATCGATTTCTTTAAAAGTGAAAATCGATTTTTGTATTCGATTTTTATTCTTTATTCGATTCTTTATTCTAGTAAGAATTAAATAATACAGAAAGTTGCAAACAATGAAATACAAGTACAAATTAGGAAATACAGATGAGTAGGTATCGATAATTTCAAAATTTTCGGAACCCTATAATCTATCAACACGAAATTAGGTTAATTTCAATGTTGATTATTCTATAACTTTAAATTTAAAAAATGAGGAAATAATCGATAAATAAAAAAAAACGATTATTAACAATCGATAAATTAAAAACACGATTTTTTAAAGTGAACGTCACATCTCATAACCAATAGAAAAGTAGATAATGGCGGATTGTTTACAAATTTCAATACCTTACACAAAACATTTTTTTTTTTAAATACGTAGACGCGTTTCCGGCAAAAATCACTTGAAGGTGTTCCAATGAAGGTCCCCCGAGACTCCTGCATAATTAGTATCATCATATTCGTGCGACGACATTTAAAATCCAACCCCTTTATTCTTTGATATTGGTTGCAGTGTGTACCAAGCAATTAAGTTTTTAGTAACTAAGTTAATTTATAAAAAAGAATTGTATTATAATTTTAAAATACCATTGAAAAGTAGACAAATAAAAAGATTCTAAAGAATATTTCAATACATGGTACATTGAAGTTGTCTGGGTAAAAAGTAATAAGTTACTAGCGGTATTTATGAATCTTGGCCTTGGATTCCTGTTTTAGTAATCATCTTAATACATCTTTATTCACCATTTGTTATAATTTCCATTTTGTTAATGTAATTTTATAACTTATTGTACTGAAATTATCAAATTACAATATAAGAAGTCCAGCCAGTTTTGTACTTATACAAGTTTTTTCTTTCTTGTTTTTTTTTCAGAGTGTTGTGGAGAGTACATTAGCAAGAATTAAAAGACCATGTAAAAAAGCACTACCTGCAGTAGCTATTGCTACTCAATCTAGTCAAAGAGACACAAATTCAATTGGGGAAATAAATCCGGGCCGAAGAAATACCATGCCTATGAATTTTGACATTAAGGTAGAACTAGAGAATGTTGACGAGATAACAATGGAAAAACAGCATGAAATAATAAGTTGGAGGGAAATAGTGATAAAATCTACTGAAATTTATCTTCAATCTTATAATATTTGTGATAAAATACTACATGGACAGGTAAGTTTTGAAAATATTAATTAATTAGTTGTTGCATATGTTAGTTGTTTGAACAGCTATTTCATGACCGGAATGATTATGTTTCTTACCAATTTGTTTTCTGTATTTTTCATTTATTACATTAAATTAAACCTAGATTGACATTCTTCAGGCCGTTTTTTAATTGTCATCTATATAGCTAACATTGATTATATCAAACAAATCCAAATTATGTTTTAAACATTTTTTTTAAACTATGGATTGAATGGAAAAAATTCTTTAACCGCTAAATCTTGTTCATAATTCTAATCCTTAGGTCTCACACATTATTATTCTAATTTAAATGAAGCTGTTCCCTCTATATATTGACAGTACAAGCAAGAATCCTCAATAAAGTTACACTTTGCAATACATTTCTGATCTTGCTACTAACATATCTGTTTCTATCTTTTCTTTGATAACTTTTCAGGTCCTCAATACCTGCAAACCGGACGTAAAAGTATTCGTAAAAACACCCCACGAGAAACTATTAGACCGAGCATTCACACAATGGTGCCATTGGGCCTCCCTCACAGAGGAGCCCAGAGATCCGCCGTTATTCTACAAATGCTACATCTGCGATATGGCGTGGTGGCACTTGGCCTACTTTCGCGACCACATACGAACCCACGAGCCTTCGAGCCTCTGCGTCGCTCTAGAAATGAATGACAACGTCGAGTGCAATATTGTCGCTTACTACAGCAAATCGGCGAACAAGTACATCGCGAACATAGAAGGGAAATGCTGGAAATGCGGCGAAAATGCGTTCGAACATACGAAATTGAAGAACTGTGTCGGATGTAAGAAACGGTTCTCCACGTGCAGCAAGCTCCGCCAACACCAGTGGTACTGCGAGGGGTTCAAAAACATGCACCTAGAACTTTTCGCCTCAGCTGAGAAGATATTTAAATGTCACCTGTGTCGGTTTTACTTTTTCAAAACGGAAGACATTAAAGAACACATGAGACTGCGGCATTCTGTGCGGTCAGATGTGCCCATACCGGGCTGTGCTGTTTGTGAGAAATGCAAGGACCTTATTTCCTATGAAGATGATCATGTTTGTGAATCTAAAGAGTATGTTAAGACGTGTGGTGCGTGCAAGAAAAGGGTCACCGAAAGCAGTGCTGCATTCCATCAGATTGAAGGGAACGTCACCTGCTCTGTGTAAGTTGTTTTGTTATTGCTTTATTTAACAGTAAGGCGTTTAACCTTGGTGCCTGAAGGGCTACAACACGGTTTACATGATGTGCGACATTCTGTGCCTGAATCAAATCCAAATATAATAAGTAGGTAGCCAATATTTTCTTGCGCGCGGGCAAAACGACCGGCGCTACTAATCGTACGCTACACTGTCGCAATGCAAAATGTGTGTATACATAAACTCTTACAAAATCCCCCCATCGAAAAAAAAAACCCTATTACAGTTACCGCCAGTTCCTAAATCAGAACTAAAACGACGAGAACTGGTAATAAACTGCCCGCCATAGTAATTATAATCTTCTTTTTTTCAGATGCAAAGTGAAAATAGTAAATAGTTGTTCAACACATCTCCACGCACTTCGTCATACGATGAACTATGGATTGGCGTACAAGTGCCTCACCTGTAATTTTTTTATAATCTTTGACTTGGAACAGATTCAAAAACACAAAATGTTTTATCATTCCAATCGCGATTTTGATTATGATCTTGTAAGTATTAAATTTTCATTACTTTAATACGGTAGAACAGTGTATTAAAGCTTGTAGCGCCATTGGTTTTGTATTTTTTTTATATGGTACATTTTTAAATAAAAAAAACCTTATTTAAGGCAGTTCATGCCGGTAAAATAATTGTGTCCTTAGTCCATTGGTTAGCAAGGATAGAAAGCTGATCAAAAATTATATTACCCGTTGAATTCACAATTGGAGGATTTTGGTATTTATATTTTATACTGCCTTCAGCTCTATACTCTTTCATTTTAATTTGCTCATATATTCATGTGGTGTGTGCCCTTGCCAATTCAAATACTTTTTATTTCAGATTTCCGTCCCAAAATCCATAGTGGATAGATTAAAATCTACGCCAGCCAAACATGATTGTAAGTATTCTTGTAAAACATACATTTTACCGTATAATAAATCATATTATAGCCTTTCTGTTTCTATCCATTATTCAAATTTTAAATTTTACAGCACCGGTCGATAGTCAAATAAATACTTTCCTTTTGTCTCATGATACTCAACATATGATATATGATAGAGATGATGATGATGATGTCATCATCATTGATAAAGTACCTGAAGCTATTGTTATACCATCTGATGACGCACCTAACGATGATCTCCCTTGTGTCATTGCTCATATTAAATCCGAACCACTTGAAAACGAAATACAAACATCTAATACAAGACATACTGTTACACCACAACATGATTTCGAATGTAAAACGATGGTAATCCAAGTACCTAAAGACACAAAAGACGTATTTAAATGCCTATCAGATGGATACAGACTTAATGATGATAAAGTATTAAGTATTGATGAAATTAAAAGGGAACCTAATAGTGAACTGAATGTCACCATGGAAGCTACATTTGGAATTCTAAATACTCAAAGTATGACGCCAAATAATGTAAATACAGTTAATAATATAAAAATGTTGAGATCTCAAACTAAACAGACTCTGCTAACCGACGTTTCACGAAATTCAGAATCAGATGTGAAAATCGAAGTTATAAAAAGTGAGAAAGAGAATCTAATGGGAGTTGACCTAAGTGATATACAATTGAATGAACAGAAACGAGAAGAAGGTAGACCGGCGGATATGTCCAATAATTTAGAACAAATTACTCCAAAAGAATCAGAAGTATCAGAACCGTTAAAGGCAGAAAAAAATGTAGAGACGTTTGTCGATATCGATATCCCATGGGATGGTGTTCCAATAAAGGAAGAAGCTGATCCGGAAATGGATTTCAAATTATCGGATATCAGAAGGATATATCATGTCGATGTTGTTAATGTCGGTGAAAACAAAATTGATGTAAAGCAAGAAATTAATGAATTTGATTCAACTGGACAAAGCGGGAACTGGCACCAAGACAGCTTGGCTTTCGTAAGTAATAATAACTAAACACCCTGTCAAATAATATAACGCCAATAGACAAATGACACGAGTACCAACACTAACAAAATATACAATTTAGCAAATATATTTAATCTGTATAACACGACCATAGACATATTTTTTCTTTAAATGTCCAAACCTTTAACTAAATATTTGTTTCCAACACACAAATATACAGTATTTACGATATTCCAAAGCCCGTCCCATCCTCCAAGAGATCAAAGACATCCCATCCGACCGCTTGCCTTCGTCTCTAGGCATGTCTGTTGACTCCAAAATGGCTGGAACATTGCAAACCTACAATTAAGTTAAACCTTATAAATTTCAGTCGCATTTGATCACCATCTCACCGAATGTTACTTTAAATACCGATGATGAAAAGAACCGAACACCAAGGAAGAAGAAAATGTAAGTTGTATATTGGAACAGAGATAGCGATTTTGCTTCGCGACCGAACTGAAAAAAATTTGATAGTAAAACCGTAAGAAAAAGTCTGTGGAATAAAGTCGTATACACAAGCGAGTAGTGTATAATACCTTTCTCTTTCTCCTTCTTATCGTTCTCTCATCCCTTCTCTCTCTATTACCACTCCACCCCGCCAACGCATAGTATATACTCATGAATTCATGGACAAGCACGTGGCGAATACTCACATTATAGATACATTTTACTCGTGAGTAGCCACGTTTACCGTCATAACAATAATAAATATAGTAACAATGGCAAGTGAACTAACAAAGTGACTTGAATCCAATTGACAGTAATAATAGTGGGAAATTATTCAGAACAAAAGAATTAAATGCGTAAATATTAGTTTATTTATAAATATAAAATATTTTACATTGGTTAATATTGTGTGTACATACTAAAATCTTTGTAAGGTTTCTGTTAATTTTGTATCACGGTGCGCGCGCATCGTAAAATTTCACTCTCATCAATATATATGTGTGTGTGTGTGTGTGCGTGTGTGAATATTTATTTTTAAAAGTTAATTCTGTACTCAATATATATACATGTTATTAATTATATTTATACTTAATCCTTTTTAGTACTGCAAAACCACCAAAAACCAAAGCAGAGTATCAAAAAGCGTATAGGGAACGCGAAAAAGCTAAAAAAAATGAAAATAAGCAAGAAAGGTATGATATAAAGCAAAGATATCCTCTAAACTAATGAAAATATTTTAAAAGTTTATTGATTATTTTTTAAATAATTAAAAAATATTTTCCCTTCAATTCCAAACATTTAAATATATATATATATTTTGATAATAATTTTTTTTTAATAATCATTTTTAGTACTGCAAAACCACCAAAAACCAAAGCAGAGTATCAAAAGGAGTATAGGAAACGCCAAAAAGCTAAAAAAAATGAGAATAAGCAAGAAAGGTACAATATTAAGTAAAAATATCTAGTAAACTAATGAAAATATTTAAAAAGTTTATTGAATCTTTTTTTTAAGTTAAACAAAAAATCTATTTTTAATAATTTGCAGTACCGCAAAACCACCAAAAACAAATGCAGAGCATCAAAAGGCATTCAGGGAACGTCAAAAAATGAAGAAAATTAAAAATAAACGAGAAAGGTACAATACAAAAATATCGATGTGTATACATACGAGGGTGTTCCCTTTTTTCGAATTTTATTTTTGGCCTCATCTACGAAAAAGTATTATTGTAAATTAGAAAAAAAATACTTTCTGAGTTTAGAATAATAATTCGTGTGTGGAGTGAAAATATATAAATTCAAAGAAAAGAAGCACTCAAATGTATATATAGAATTTTTTTTTCCAAGTTAAATATTTTTTTTTAGTAACGCTGCATTAAATGCACCTAAAACTAAAAAAACTCAATCTGAACATAGTATCAGCAGAAATCTAGATTGAAAAAGCAGCGTGTTCAACTTGATGCTTTACTATTCGAAAAGAGTGAAGTTCCACAATCGTAAGATATTTTTGTAATTCACATTTACTATGTAAAGAAACCCATTTAAATGTTTAATATTTTAATTTCAGAAAAAAAATCAAGTTGATTGATACGAATGTAACAAACAAAAATTTATTATGAGACAACGAAATTTTGACTGATCTCATCGAATCATCTAAAAAGCTGTATGTATTTCAAAATTTGTATCCAAATTTTTTTTTATAATTTTTTTAAATTTTTCTTTAAAGCATATAACTTTTTGTCTTAGGTTGCATAATACTGATAATTTACCAACACAAACACAAGCATCTTCTCAAAGATCAGTCATAAATCTTCCATTCCAAGCTCCATACGAGCAACATATCGAATGTTCAAAGCCGAACGCCATTTTACCGCGTTTAATAAACATTCCTGGAGACGGCAATTGTTTATTTTATTCTCTCATTGAAGTCCTAAGGCTTAGAATAACACCATCAGAACTCGGAGAACCATTACTGGAATCTCGATATTTTCATACCTGCCAAAACCCAAATAATGCAAGATTTATACTTCTTAATGAGTCCGAATATGGAGATTTAGATTGTTTATCGATATTTTCAAGAGAATACAATCAAAATATTTGTGAGCATTTTGATTTCTTCGGTACCAACACACGTCAAGAAAAAGTGTGGTTCTGTTATTTTATTGTGAATGATACACAAAACTTCATTCACCTCCATCTTCGCAATCAGCATTTTACTCCGTATATTGAAGTACAGGAAATGATAATAACAACAGTATTAATAGTCAACAGCCTATTACTCAATATATTGAAACACAAGATATGATAATAGACAACAATATTAGTAGTCAACACTCTAAAGACTGTATTTTTGAAGGTCCTTCAAACTTTTAAAATAAACCGCAGCCGAAGAGAATTACGATGCAAGTGAAATTGAATTTGATGACGAAAACGATGTTATCGAGATGGAATTTATAGAAAATCATGTCACAATTCCAGTTTACACAAATTATTACCAACTCAGCAGTAGTCATGTAGATTTTTTCACTGGCTTTAAAAAAATACTTTTGGACATTCTTGTGCTGTCTGTGATAGGCTTTGGTGGATGAAAGATTTAAGTGAGACATCTAGTATACACGAGAATATTTTACAAAAAATATTGCCGGTATTTTTTTTACTTAAATCAATTTTTTTTTTTATCTTTATTGGTACTTCATTTTGTTTTATTACTATATGTTCTTTTTGCTATTTCAGAATTATGTGTGTGGTACAAATGTTGACATTTGTTCTACGTGTAAAGCGGCTTTAAGCAAAGAAAAAGTACCTTTAATGGCGACATACAACGGTTTTTCATACCCAATAATTCCATACGATCTGCCAACATTAAATCTTGTTATGTTAATTTTACGGCTATGGGTAATAGTCTGACTCCCGAAAGTCCAAAATGTTTTGGATTTTTATATACGGCCAATAGTTATACTTCGCGCTTAGTTTATCTTCTAAATCTCTCCTTAAATTCCTTAAATAAAAAACATATAGATATACGAAACAAAGAGACTCTTGATATGCATCTTCACGTGTACGCTCAAAGAGTTCAAGGATATGCCCCCGTGACCGCACTGTGGACAGATCAACTCCGGAACGCCGTGCTTTTCAAAGTGCAATAGATATTTAATATTTATGCATCGAAACAAAATATAACGGATAATAACGTCAATGGTGGTCCCATATTTTGTTGTGAATTCTTGTGGATCAATATTCATTTTCAAATTCAATTTTTCCGAAAGAAAAGTTGTCAACCGCTCCGATTTATAGAAGAAAAAAAAACTAAAATGAAACAGTATATTATTATAAAAACAACCTAAATTTTTATATTTAAATGAGCTATCTTAAAAGTAGCCCAAACACACATTAAAATCGATGAATCTTTTTTTAACGGCAATGAACGTACTTCGCAATTAAATATCGATGGAATGCAGCCCCTCCACCCTTGCGTACCAAAGCACAGGCATTATGCAAGCCGTAGGGGCTAAGGCTGGACCAAAAAGCCGAAGCTGCGGAGGAAGCCTCCGCGCCTCCGATTTTTTATATACACTCTAGGGGAGGGCAGACAAGACCACGTGGATAGTGGGGTGCTCTGATTCGGTTTTGGGTACTTTTTGGATATTGTAGTAAACACTTTAGTCTTGTAAGAATTAAATAATACAGAAAGTTGCAAACAATGAAATACAAGTACAAATTAGGAAATACAGATGAGTAGGTATCGATAATTTCAAAATTTTCGGAACCCTATAATCTATCAACACGAAATTATAGACCAGAAGCCCATGAACAAAAAATACCTGTGAAATGACCCAACGTGAATTACGCTTAGAAGGCTGTATATCTGAAAATAGCTCTGAGCACTATGACGTCATTTCTGAGCGGTACATGTGAGTACGTGAGTGAATGGACTTTCTCAGGTACAATTGGGGAATTTCGACTAATTATTAATGTACGGCTTTGTTATAAGTGTATAGATGATTAAAAATAAATGTCGAAAAACCTAGTGCCGTACTAAAGTGATGGTGCCGGAAGTCGGTGCAAATTTTTAATTCGACGACAGTTGCAGAAGCAATATAGGTCATTTATTACTGTACGGCATTTGTGTGATTCCTTTTGGACACATATACAGATACTTTACCCGTAAACGCCGTACATATTTCCAGCGGAGCGGTCGAAAGCCAAGGGTCGGAACCCTACCCCTACACCCATATACCCTAAGGTCATTGTAAAATGTACGGCAACATGTTCAAAATATTATTTAACACGGACAATAATGTCTTATAATTATGCCGTCCAAAAATTATAGTTAATATTTGTGTAAATAAATATTTATCGAAATTTCAGGATTTACCGAGTTCTTACTGCTGTAAGATCAGAGTACGGCAACTTGTTTTTTTACATAATGATACTAAATATTACCGTTGTACCTTATAGCCGTTCATTATAAATGGTAACAAATAAAAATATTATAATATAAAATATATGAAATTTCCGAAATTGAGATGATTTTTCAAATATTCCTAGTGTAGTATGAGGAGTAATATTTTCAAATATTATTGTTATTTTTTATGTAACAAATATAAATAAACAAAAAAAACCAGATGCCGTACATTTTACTCCAGGTTATTCTTTACAGCTGATAAAAACTTCGACGACGTTTGAGGTGTCCCTTAAGGTCATTAATAACTGTACGTATCTGAGTATACTACCATAAGGCTGTAAAGTATATTTACAGCCTTTTCATACCAGCAGAGAGAGGTAAAAGAAAAATATTTTTAACAAAAATAAAAATATAATACAGGGCGTCCCAAAGTTATAGGACATGAAGGAAAAGTACCTTTAATATCGTAGATAGGGTATTTTACTGAAAGAAGACTTATATAGATATGTTATTTTTAAAAGTTAGTAATTCTGCATTCAAAGATTTTGGAAAAAATTACTTGCCTCGTCTGGAAATCGAACCGGCTTAAATGTTAAAAAAAAACACCCCTACTTTTATGATGCCAATCGAAAGACTGGCCAAAACCTAATAACTTTTCTAAAGTAACAGACTTGTAGGGGATTTTTTTAGGCCGAATACGATAGATAATGTTTTTAATTTGATTAAAAAGATATATTCACGCAGTTCCTTTCTTTTAAAATACTATGTTACTTAAGAAGAGTTATTAGTTTTTGGCCATTCTTTCGATTGGCATCATAAAAGTAAGGGTGTTTTTTTTTACATTTAAGTCGGTTCGATTCCCAGACGAGGCAAGTAATTTTTAGAAAATCTTTGAATGCAGAATTACTAACTTTTAAAAATGACATAAAGTCTTCTTTTAGTAAAATACCCTATCTACGATATTTAAGGTACTTTCCCTTCATATCCCATAACTTTGGGACGCCCTGTATTGGTAGGCGGTGGTATAATCTGCCATTTCACAGACTAGCGGACTATCGAAAGTGTACGGCATTTATCTTTTATTGAAGATTGTCTAAAGTATTAATAACCTGTGTTATTGCCGTACAGATAAAAGTCACCGGAAAATGACTCTTTTCGGAGGGAAGTAATTTACCCCATACACCTATGTGTTCCACAAAAAATGTACGGCATGCTGGAAAATTTTATCTATTTGTGAAGTACTCTCAAGATCATTTAATTTTATGTTGTTCTATATCATCATCACCTATATGCTAATCAGACATATGTTGCGACCCTTGGCTTTCGACCGCTCCGCTGGAAATATGTACGGCGTTTACGGGTAAAGTATCTGTATATGTGTCCAAAAGGAATCACACAAATGCCGTACAGTAATAAATGACCTATATTGCTTCTGCAACTGTCGTCGAATTAAAAATTTGCACCGACTTCCGGCACCATCACTTTAGTACGGCACTATGTTTTTTGACATTTATTTTTAATTATCTATACACTTACAACAAAGCCGTACATTAATAATTAGTCGAAATTCCCCAATTGTACCTGATAAAGTCGATTCACTCACGTACTCACATGTACCGCTCAGAAATGACGGCATAGCATAGTGCTCAGAGCTATTTTCAGATATAGTAACAGCCTTCTAAGCGTAATTCACGTTGGGTCATTTCACAGGTATTTTTTGTTCATGGGCTTGTGGTCTATTAGGTTAATTTCAATGTTGATTATTCTATAACTTTAAATTTAAAAAATGAGGAAATATTCGATAAATAAAGAAAACGATTATTAACAATCGATAAATTAAAAACACGATTTTTTAAAGTGAACGTCACATCTCTTATAACCATTGTAGTGTATTGACTAAATAAAGTGTTACTTGGTTGTCTCATGCGCCTACGTCACTTGTCAGACTGGCAGTCGTAATCCGACATCCGAACGGAGCGGTTGTGTGTAGAATGTTTGTACAAGTGTTGTGGTGTTGGTGAGCCGTAAATCAGTCCAAGAAGCAGGACATTACATGTGGCGACGAGGAAAAAAGTGAGTACACATTAGTAAAACAAAAACAAAAGGGAAAGATACGGTGCAGTAAACAAGTGACGTCATTCCCAGAGTCCTTTGCCTATAATTTACTATGACCCGGTTGTTTTAATCATTAGCTATTGATAGCAGAAACAGTTGCTTCTTGACTTCTGAACGAATGTAGATAATTTTATTGTTGACGGGAAATATGAATTTGTATTACAATATTTAATATTGTCGTGCCTACATTTAAACAGTAAGCAACAAACCTCTGCAATTACTGAGCTAAGGATATAAACAAATAATTACCTATAGGTTCATCTAATCTAAACTACGGGCACCTACATTGAATGTACGATTGTTTTGTAGCACCTACCTACATAGTGATAGAAATATATTGTACTAGTAGACCGGCCAAGCGTTGCTGTGGCTAAGGTTTTTGTTATATTACAAAGTAGTAAACTATTCAAGGGAAACGGTACGAGAACACCAATCATGGGGACCACCATGCTTTATGGTGCTTATGCCATTAAATTGTAGAAACGTTGATAGAATTATATGAAACGTTGGTACTTTTAACACAGCGCCATCTGTTAGAATGGTGACTATTAAATAAGAAACAAATATTTTGCAATAAAATAATATTGCGGGTATAAATTGAGATGTACCCTATCTTTTAAGTAAGATCAAACTGCACACGGTGTGCAAATTTGATTGATATCGGTTCGGTAGTTTAGGAGTCCATAGCGGACAAACAATGTGACCAGTAATTTATATATACTAAGATTATGCTTGTGTTTAGTGGTGTTTCTATTTGTCTAAAAAAAAAAATAATAATAATAAAAATAATAGCAAGGTTTATTTACAACGGTTGACCGTTAAATCGGTAGGTACCTGTCTACCTAACTAACGCAGATTTAACAAAGACCCTTAATTGGATCTGGTTCAATAAATTAATTAAAACTATGTTCTTGTGATTAATACTGTAAAACAAAAGGAAGTATCTACTCAAAGCAGTTGGAACCCAACTGATCATTAAATTGATATCTGTAAATAAAAATAAAAGCAGACTAAAAGTCTGATCATTAAATTGATATCTGTAAGTAAAAATAAAAGCAGACTAAAAGTCTGATCATTAAATTGATACCTGTAAATAAAAATAAAAGCAGACTAAAAGTCTGATCATTAAATTGATATCTGTAAATAAAAATAAAAGCAGACTAAAAGTCTGATCATTAAATTGATATCTGTAAATAAAAATAAAAGCAGACTAAAAGTCTGATCATTAAATTGATGCCAGTAAATAAAAATAAAAGCAGACTAAAAGTCTGATCATTAAATTGATATCTGTAAATAAAAATAAAAGCAGACTAAAAGTCTGATCATTAAATTGATATCTGTAAATAAAAATAAAAGCAGACTAAAAGTCTGATCATTAAATTGATGCCAGTAAATAAAAATAAAAGCAGACTAAAAGTCTGATCATTAAATTGATGCCAGTAAATAGAAATAAAAGCAGACTAAAAGTCTGATCATTAAATTGATGCCAGTAAATAGAAATAAAAGCAGACTAAAAGTCTGATCATTAAATTGATACCAGGAAATAAAAATAAAAGCAGACTAAAAGTCTGATCATTAAATTGATGCCAGTAAATAAAAATAAAAGCAGACTAAAAGTCTGATCATTAAATTGATACCAGTAAATAAAAATATAAGCAGATTAAAAGTCTGATCATTAAATTGATACCAGTAAATAAAAACAAAAGCAGATTAAAGGTCTGATCATTAAATTAATACCAGTAAATAAAAACAAAAGCAGATTAAAAGTCTGATCATTAAATTGATATCAGTAAATAAAAATAAAAGCAGATTAAAATTCTGATCATTAAATTGATACCAATAAATAAAATAAAAGCTTTACAATAAAATTATTATTGTATGTTAGTGGGTACTAACTTAACAGATTAAAAATCTGATAATTCATTTTATACGTTTGTTGGTTATGAACAGCTTAAGTAGATTTATGCGGATAAAAATATAATCCGATCATTAAATTCATACAAGATCATCTAAGATAAAATCTACAAACTTAGCAGATTCAAAATCTGATAATTAAATTTATATGTTTGTTGGTATGGACGGCTTAAGTAGCTTTATGCGGATAAAAATATAATCCGATCATTAAATTGATACGAGATGGAAGCATCTGAGATCAAATCTAACTGCAGATACATAGATATCTGAATCATTAAATTGATAAATTCCTGGTCGCTCCAAAGATGTCACTCCTTTACTGGAAAAGTTCGACTGTAACGGTAAATCTACCTCAATGGGTGCACGATGGGAGCGATGGAAACGAGCACTATTCATTTACCTCGAAGCGTCTAACATTGACGAAGACGTAAAGAAAAGGGTCTCTCTTCTACATTGCGGCGGGCTAGACTTACAGGAAGTGTTTTACAACATTCCTGGAGTTAGCTCCGTCGAACCAACTGAAGGCAAAGACGTGTTTGAAGTAGCAATATCTAAACTTGATGCCTAGTTTGCACCAATACAGAACAAAGTATACGAGAGACATATATTCAGGCTCCTTAAACAAGAACCTGACGGAAAAATTTAAATTTTTGGTGAGACTGGGAAAACAAGCTGATAAATGTCAGTTTGCCGACAGAGACGAAAACATTATCGACCAAATAACGAAAAAAATGTTTTCTACCCGGACAGAGAAAAACGATATCACAGATTGGGGATGAAATTACATTAGAGCAAGTAATCACCGAAGCAAATACTCTTGAAGTTGTTAATAAACAATTAGACGACTTTAAAAACCCACTGAAATCAAATGAGAATCAAGAAGTAAACAGGATGGATAGTAAATCTAAAATGGACTTTGATAAATTAAAGAATTTTGTACATGGATTCGGTAGATGATACTGCCGAACGAAACAGACGTTGAAGCGGAAAGTGGAAATATTATAATAATATAGACATGATCAAAAAAAAAAAAAAAAAAAAGGTCGTTTCGACAGGAAGAAGAACTTAAACATAGGGATATTATAGAGCCGCTAGTGGGTTCTTCTAAATGGGTGTCCCCTGTAGTGCCGGTGCAGAATACAATTACAATATTGGATATTAAAGATGCATTTACCAACTTGAATACATAGAGCCTGCTTCAAGAAACAACCACCTTTATAACCAGTAAAGGCTTATTAAGATACAAGAGACTCATGTTTCTCATATCGTGTAACCGAAAACTGGGGACCAGAACAAAAGGGGTATTTTAAGTCGTTGAAGGAAATCATGACAAATATTCCTAGCTTAGGGTATTATAATGTTAGCGATCGTACGATTGTCATAGCAGATGCTAGTCCTGTGGATTTAGGTGGAGTTTTAGTTCAAACTAATTCCAAAGGTGAGCCCAGGATTATTGCATATGGCCACAAAACTCTGACTGACTGTGAACGCCGCTATTGCCAGACACAAAAAGAAGCGTTAATTCTCGTGTGGGCGGTGGAACATTTCCACATATTCCTTTATAGTAAAAAAATTGAACTTATAAGAGATCACAAGCCGTTGGAGGTAATATTTGGTCCTAAATCTAAACCATGTGCAGCCTGGATAGAGAGATGGGTTATGCGCTTACAATCGTACGACTATAAAATAGTTTACCAACCAGGGAAAACCAATATCGCCGACTCATTGTCGAGACAACAAATAAGCAAAAATGCGGAGAAATCCCTGATAAAATTGGAAGACAATCACATTTGTCATGCACAATGGACGATAGGAAAATATTAATCGTGAAAGAGGGTTTATATCGGAACATATGGAACGACGATATGAAGTTGTATAAAATCTTACAAAATGAACTTTGTTTTCATGAGGGTATATTATTGAGAGGAATGAGAATTGTGGTTCCCTCGCCACTCCGTATAAGAGTTTTGGATGCAGCTCACGAGGGACATCCCGGTATCGTGTCAATGAAGGCGAGACTTCGTATGAAAGTCTGGTGGCCTAGATGCGACAGAGGCTGATAAAATTGTTAAAGCCTGTAAAGGATGTACTCTAGTATCTGCACCATGTCCACAAAACCCTATAAAACGGCGTGAGTTTCCAGAAGTGCTTTGGATTGATATCGCAATTCATTACAAGTGGTGACCACATATTATAAAGAAGTGAAGATTTGTCGCAAAATTACCTCTACTGAAATTGTAGCCAAACTTAAAGGAATATTCAGTCGATTAGTAAATCAATAACTGCAGATAATAGAAGACAGTTACTCAGCGAAGAGTTTAAATCATTTCTAACAGAAATAAACATTTTTCTTTTCAATACAGTACCATATTGGCTGCGACAAAGCGGAGAGGTCGAAAGACAAAACTGTGTCATACTTAAACGTCTTAAAATAAGTATAGCTGAAAATAAAGACTGGAAGGAAAGTTTACTGAAATATTTAACCATGTACATACAACACATTCTGTTACTGGAAGAACCTCATCAGAACTTTTTTTCAAAAGGAAGTTTAGAGATAAATTACCTATGGTAAACGATACAATTGAGAGGACAGCACTAGACACTAAGGTTAAGGATAGAAAAAAAAAAAAAAACAAATAGGAAAAGAAATCGGATACGATAAACGGAAGGCTGGATAGTGTGATTTAATACCAGGAGACATAGTGTATATAAAAATATGAATAAAGGAAATAAATAAAAATAAAATAAATAAATCCAGAAACACACACGGTGGAAATCACGAAAGGAGGAGATATCACGGTAAGAAACGATGAAATCGGTCAAACTCGAAGAAGGGACGTTGTACATTTGAAAAGAGTTCAAGGGGAATGGAATGTCTGAAAAGAAATGAAGTTAACGACGAGGAAATCAATGTCGGAACTTAACCCTAGTGTAGCTGCATAAAACTTTAATTTCATTAATTATGTTTGATTCATGTAAAATCCATCACATTACATCCAAGTTACATTAATGAGTAATCAGAGAGATATAATCAATAAAAACAAATAAAACAAAAAAGGGATGTAGTGTATTGACTAAATAAAGTGTTACTTGGTTGTCTCATGCGCCTACGTCACTTGTCAGACTGGCAGTCGTAATCCGACATCCGAACGGAGCGGTTGTGTGTAGAATGTTTGTACAAGTGTTGTGGTGTTGGTGAGCCGTAAATCAGTCCAAGAAGCAGGACATTATAACCATTAACCAATAGAATAGTAGAAAATGGCGGATTGTTTACAAATTTCAATACGTTACACAATTTTTGTTTTTAATACTTAGACGAGTTTCCGGCAGCAAAAATCACTTGGAGGTGTTCCAATGAAGGTCCCCCGAAACTCCTGCATAATTAGTATCATATCAAATTCGTGCGACGACATTTAAAACCCAACCCGCGGTCTTATTAAGTGGCAGCTAGGTGAGGGGTATCGGCCTTTGGGAGAGTTGTGCGGTACCGGGCGAGTGCTTAATCCGTACATCGAGGGCACGGTCGAATTTCTAAGGCAAGCAGTGAGTATGCTACCTAAGAAAGGAGACTGAAGGTTTAGAACGTAGCAATACGTTCTAGGCCGAGGATGCCAAATTACAAGTGCGAATTATAAAAATCTTATACTAATTGACGCTTGCTAATGAACAAACCGTGCCAGAGCCATAAGAAAATTATAATAATAAATATTATAAAAATGATAAATATTAAAAAAATGAATAAATTCAAATACAATTTTCAAATTTATCAATAAGTTCATTCATTGGGCGTGTTTGGCCGAAGTAAGTACTTACTAAATTTAGTAAGTCACTTACTATGCTTACAAAATTTTCGGCCGGGACACAAAATAAGTGCTAACGCAGTAAGTATGGCTTAATATACAACGCCATTTTGCTTATTGTTGATGTAAACAAAACGGACAGGAACAGACCTGTCATTGTTCAGATATGTACGGGATATGACATAAACCGGTGTTTTGTGTTATGTTAATAAGCCAGTAAGTCTGTCCTGGCCGAAAAGCGCTACAGTCAGCTTGTAAGACTTTAATTTTTTTATGCTTACTGGCTTACTAAGTTTAGTAAGTACTTACTTCGGCCAAACACGCCCATTGACTCTTGAAATATGAATTAATTATTAACAAATAAATATTTTAAATTAAGAATCCTGTTATATGTAGTACAATGATGCCATATATATATATTGTTAAATGTCAATTTTTAATATTTATTATTAATTTTTATATCTAATTTTTTACTATCATTGTTATTTATCAATCTAACAGTGGTACAAATGAACCTGGAATAAAAAGTTATACCAAGAATAAGCAAAATGTCTACTAATAATCCCAGAATAACTTAAACCTACTATAACGTCGGCGTAACTGTTCATACTAGTGTTATTCCAATAATTCCAGCTGCCAACAGTACTAAATCCGACCACTTGTAAAGAATAAGCACACAATTATGCCCACATTAAAACTCGCAATAGTATAGAGATGTTTTGGTGTTTGGAACAACCGATTTAGGTATTTATTGTCAGGGGATTCAGAACATCTCTAGCAAACACCAAGATGTATATAGTAGCTTTGGCAGTCTTGCACAATATAGCCATTGAATTGAAAGAGGAACCTATCTCTGATGATGATGATACCCTGCCTCCACCACCAACAGCACCCTCATCTCAAAACACAGTGTGTTTTCCTGCTGCGTGGAGCAGCATTGAGAAGCATATTTATTAAAGAAAACTATTAAGTTATTTTAACAAATAAAACATTTTTAATACATTGTTATATTTATTTGTGAAACATTTTTATTAGAATATTTAATTTTAAAGTGACGACTAAAGTCTTTACTAGAATGTCTGTCTGTAAATTAAAATTTATATTATATTAGTGTTGATTTTGAAGGTTCTCATTTTCCAGAGGTCAAAAACTGTTTATCTGCATATGAGGCTTCCCCGAAACTAAAACTTTCTTTACTTGCTTTCTGTAACAAATAAGAGAATATTAATTTAAGATCTTTCCATGCAAAACTAAAAAACAATTATACTTACATATGTTTTGATTAAACAATGTAGTTTTTTCAGATGTTTATTAAAATGTGGTTTACTTCTCTGTTATTTCGCTCCAAGCCTTCATTTTCGCCTTATTTGTGTTCGTACTTAAAACTTTGTTTTCAATTATGGATAAATAGGGTCGTTATATATTTCTAAAAAGTTGCTGTAATCGAACACAAGAAATAAATTTAAATACAAATTCATGTTTCAGTTTTACTCGACATTCACAATTCTACATACCATTTCTTCTAACTCCCAATTAATTCAGCGTTCCCTTTTATTATTAAGCATTTTAAAATCTTTTAAAACTGGTTATGATAATCAAAATAAACAACCTCGTGGCTCGTATCAAAATAACCGCGAATGGAAACGTCAAACTGACAGACTGTCAGTTTTTCTGTCAGTGACAGAAACACGGTTATCATAGACAAGTTTTTGTTTTTTTCTAATTTAAATCAATGAAATGCGACGTTGTCGTCTCGTGCGTATGGCATAACGGGGGAAATGGGATGTGACATTCTGCATAAAAAATCGATTTTTTTTTTAATCGATTATTTTTTTAGCATGAATAATCCATTAATAAATAATCGATTTTTTTTTATTAATCGATTTTTTCCAATTTTTTAAATAAATTTCAAAATAAACACCCTAAATATTTTATTTTTCATGGTTTTTTAAATTAAAAATAAACAATAGATATTATAAACACAAATTAACGTTTAAGAATAATCAAAATCGAAATTAACTTAAAATCTCGATTTGATAGATTTTGATGAATGCTGAGTGTATTCCTTTTCAGTAGCACATTGGAGTATTTTTGTTGTCTTTTTAATTGTATGTAGTCTTGTGCTGCTGCATAAATTTATTTTACTTTTAAATTATAGTGTTCCATTCAAACTTGAGTTTTTGTAAAATAAACTGCTTTTATCATCCTTTTGATGTTTTACAAAAAAACATCAATGTATCAAGTATATCAATACATCTTCAAAGTATCGCATTGTAAACATCGTTGTGTATCGAATATCCCTAATAGTTCGAGGTCCGGGTTATAAAAGACCAGACATAATGTCGGGAAGTGGCAGATAAAAAATCGATTATGATTGATTTTCAATTATAAAAATAATCGATTATTTAAAATATAAAAATCGATTAAAATCGATTTTTTTAATAATCGATTATTTTATCACATCCCTAGGGGGAATAGTTAATAGTTATCCCAACATAATAACGAGTTTATAAGTAAAGTCCTTTTCATGAAAGAAGTCCCCCAGACGCGGCGCTGCAATCGCATGACATTTATGAGTAAAAAATTTACCTATTTTAATTACATTTAGCAGATGTAATTTATCAAATAATACTATTTTCTGCATACTTCGATGAAACAATATTTATGTTATGTAAAAATTATATGTTTATTTACTTATATTAGCGGTGTTCTACCTACTTACAGGGAAAAGATGAGAAAATAGGGTAAAGAAAAGCAATACAATTTTTTATTCAGAGTTTTAATGCATAATTGTTGGGTTACAATTTTTTTCAAAATACACGCCGCTGTTATACCTTCGTTTGTAATTCTTGTTACAGTTTTCTTTGACACACCTGCAATTAAATTATGAACAGTTAAAAATAATAGTAACTTTAAGTTTATGATGAAATTATATAGTTTCATCACGTTATGTATTTGTTCAAATTTGTCGCAAAAACTAATTTATATCATAAAAGTCCCATCAATACAGCAAAAAATTATTAA